AATATATATTATAATATATATAATAGTATGCTGGTAATGCTGCTGCTGCTTCTGCTGCTTCTGCTGCTGCTGCTAATGCTGCTGCTGCTGCTGCTGTTGCTGCTGCTGATGATGATAGGATTAAGGATCAAGAGTTTAAAAAAACCCCAAGCAGCTAAGCCAGGGGCGCACGTGGTCAGAAGAAAATCAAATGTAGCTTTTTTTCATCTACAGATAACGATAGATAAGCTCGCCTCTTTCGATAGTTTATACATTTTTCTTCACCAGAGAATATATGGGGTGGGAGACTGAATTTTTCTAGTATGGTGAGGTGACGACATATGAGGAGATGAATCCAATAACGACGATGATTGGAGAGATATTTCCATGTGTACAACCACCAAAGAAAGATTTTGCGTTTTCTTGTCAGCGCCATTTTGCATCACGTGCCAACAAAACGTAAGTGGAGCGGAGCGGATGGTGTGGATAAAGACGACCTGTCATGATGATGAGCTGAGCGGATGGTGTGGATAAAGACGACCTGCCACAATGATGAGCGGAGCGGATGGTGTGGATAAAGACGACCTGCCACAATGATGAGCGGGGCGGTAATGAGCAGAGGCTATGAACACCTAGACTGAGATTGTACTTAAGGGAAATGGATGGTAGTTTTTAAGTTAAATTTAATTATGCTTGGCGGAGAGTGACAAACAATCTTTTTCAATCTGAAGCCATTAAAAGCCGACATAATTTTAATAGACTTAGTAACTGGAAACTAAAATTATAATATAATCATCCTGCCCGGAAGGAAAATTTAGAAAACTTAACACTTACAGTGTTGCTTTCAGGGGCGATGGAAATCGATTAGCGGGCCATTTTCGGCCCACTGGACAGAGGTTACACAGCCTAGATGCAGCTATCACTAAAAGACAACGTCATTTGTTGACGGTTGCCATGCCAAACTAAGTGCCTCTTTTACTTCAATAGCAAACTACAGACACTGACAAGAATTTTGAAATGGAATACACATCTTTCTCTGACCGTTTGTCTATATAGTTCCTAATAGGCTAATGATCGTTCAAAACATTTTCCTTAAATACAAAAACGAAAACAAAACAAAAACAAAACAACAAAACAAACAAACAAACAAATAGACAAAAGAACAAACAAACAAACAAACACACAAACAAAACACCCCCACACTTCTCGAATTGAAAGGCTTTTATGATTTAAATTCGAAGAACAGCACTGTCTACTTTGTGCTTATTCCACTTTCTCCTCATTCCATTCTCAACCTTGGCTTCTGGGCATAGTTGAGTCCCTGGCCCTTTTTGTGGCATCCCAGCTGGGAACCACTGACAATTTCTTAAAAAAAAAAAAAGAGTTTCTCAGGCCTTTATCGACACAATTTAGATTATTTTGGAGCCAGGCTTCGGACCCTGTGTCTCAGGTCTGACCCACGCTGAGAAGAGTACAACATCTAAGCAGAAAGACTCGGGAATCGAACGTGAGTCTCCTGTGTGCGCAGCAAAGCACCTAATTGATGCACCACATACGCCAGTTGACCATTCCTTCTCATAAAGCATGTGCCCACTGCCCAGCTATCACTATTACTATCACTACCAATGTTGAGAATAGCCCCACAAGTACAAGTACATGTAGTAGTAATCTGATGATAATGATGAGCACGGGCACGACCTTAATACAGGATGTCCGGTTTGTGCACTTCAGGACTTGGGAACAATCAGGCTCAAGAGGAAAAGGGAGAGGTGCGGGGAGGGGGTGGTGGTTGTTCCTTACAGTTGAAGGCTAGAAGGTGGTTACAGTTTGGGCAAAACTCTAACATACGGTAGTAGCCTATCGTGCAGCAGCGGCACTCCATGCACTGCTGTTTAAAAAAGGATACGTACTCTATTACTATTATTCTAGCATCTGCGTTTGTTGCCATTTTTTTGTCCAATCGTTGCCTCAAAAATGGCAAAAGTTGCCATACAAGTAGCCATTAATTTTCAAGCTTTCATCTCTCTGTGATAACATATAGCAATGTGTTGATAGAGGTAACTTAATTTAAAGCACCAGAATTTCTTGGGCTCTGTTTTAAGCATCCAGAATATCATTTGTAGCCACATAGAGTGTAAGAACTTGAAAAATACAGGTCAGAACAATTTTAAAAAATAAATTAACACACCAACAAATTAAAACACAACAAAGGGGAAAATAAAAGACAAACAGCAATGTATAGTATGTACCTATATTCTTCGCATGAAAAGATCCATACATGGACACCTTAAAATTATCAAAATACATGTCAAACTAATATTGTTATGAAGTAGCTTTTTTTGTTGAAAAATGCAAAAATCGCTGCTGCGATTCGCTGACCAGAAAATGCAAAATAATCGCGGCAGCGATCGACAAACGCAGATGCTAGATTATTATGGTAAAGGAAGGGTCCCTCACATGTCAATATGTGAAGACAGTTGAACAACTCATATGTTGAGTTTTCCCATCATCATCATCATCATCATCATCATCATCATCGTCACCATCGTCGTCGTCATCACTGCCTTTACTTTTTCACCCTGCATCTGGATATATGTATAGGCCACGAACAAACACTTTCAACCTTTTCTTATCCTAGGCTAACTTCTTTGCGTTATTCTATGTCTTCCCACTTCTCTGTAGCTTTCAACAATATTCGGTTTCCACATCACCCGACCATATATTTTGGAGTTGGGAGGGGGGGAGGGGGGGTTCTATGATTTCAGTGGATAGCAATTATTGTTTGTGAAGAAGTTTATCATCGTTTGCCTCATTCACCCTGGTATTGCGTACATGCCGCCAAGAAGGGCTCTCCACCGGTCTCTGTTCTAAGTAATCTGCTCTGTGACTCTGTGAGATCTGACTCTAGATCTTGTTCTCAGGTGGATCTCGGACTTCCTTTTGACTTAACTCATCCCCTGGGGATTCCATCCTATACATTGTCTAGTCACATTGTTTTTCTAAGCAAGCACCCAATCCACCGTTATCTTCTTTCCCTGGTCTCCTTGTCAATTAGCTGTTTTTTTTCAGGTGGTAACTGACCTGTGGATTTTCATGACCGTCCTCGGGCAGCCATAAATGATGTTTGATGTCTGTTTTGTTCGTTTTCATGTTTCCGATCAGCACAACAATTCACTGTTTTGCATTTGTACTGAAACTTCCCATCTTTGTACTGCTACTACTAGTCTTGATGCTTCTTGATCTACAGACTGTAACTTGTTTGTCTGATCCTGGTCTTGGCATCAGAGTCTGCCCACCCCCCTTATCTCTCTCTCTCTCTCTCTCTCTCTCTCTCTCTCTCTCTCTCTCTCTCTCTCTTTCGCTCTCTCTCTCTCTGGGTGGTTGGCGGGTGCTCTGGAGTGGTCTTCTCCTTCTTTCCTATCAAACATCTGTCGTCTTTATCTCCCCTCCTTCTATTTTGTTTTTGTTACTTTCTTGTAACACCTCTAATCTTCGGCACTTATTTGACCTTATTGTGTTGCAAGTGCCGTTAAATACTTTAAAAAATTAAACTCTCTCTCTCTCTCTCTCTCTCTCTCTCTCTCTCTCTCTCTCTCTCTCTCTCTCTCTCTCTCTCTCTCTCTCTCTCTCTTTGTACCCCATCCCCTCTCTCTGCTTAAAACCTTCTCGTTGCCTTTATTCACTCACCCCCAGACCAATCTCTGTTGGTGGAATGTCAAACTGTTTTTTCTGGCCTTGGCCTGTTCAGTAGCTCTTTGAAATGCTCCTTCCAGCGTTCTTTCTGTTCGTCTGGATTTGTGAAAAGCCTTCCCTCTTTATCCTTCACTGGCACACCTGCGTTCTTGTATCTGCCTGCAAGTTTCTTGGTGGTTTCATACAGTCCTCTCATGTTTCCTGCCCCTGCTGCTTCCTGTGCCTCGCGCGCTAGGTCATCTACATAGTTTCTTTTGTCTTGCCGTACGCTGACTTTTACCTCCTTTATTGCTTTGGTGTATTCTTCTTGGGCCTTTGCTTTGGCTGCTCTTGTCTTGCTCCTGTTTACCTGGTCATTTTTCTTTTTCCTGTCTTCTATCTTCCTCAGAGTGGTGGCCGATATCCAAGGCTTGTGCTCACGTTTCTGTTTCCCCAGTACCTCTTGACACACAGTGGTCCAGCCTTCTTTTATTGCCTGCCATGTTTCTTTCACGCTGCTATCCTCGCCTAGTGTTTCCAACACTTGGAACCTGTTCTTAACTGCTACATTAAACTCCTCCCTTGACGATGGCTCTCTCAGAAATTCCACATTGTACCGGTGCCTATGATTATTGACAATTCCCTGTCTTCGCTTTAGTTTTTGTCGGATTGTTGAAATGAGCAGATTTTGTCCGAAGCTACGTCTGCACTTCCTGTAAACTCTAAAATCCCTCATTGATCTCCTGTCTTTCTTGTTGACACATATGTGGTCAATCTGGTTTTCAGTTTGTTGGTCTGGCGACACCCATGTTGATTTGTGTATCTGTTTATGTGGGAAAACAGTCCCTTTTATCATGAGCAGATTCGTTGCACATATTTCTGCAAATAGTTCTCCATTCTCGTTTCTGACTCCAAGTCCGTGTTTCCCCATAATTTCCTCAAAGCGTACATTGCCACTGCCTACCTTACCGTTGCAGTCTCTCATTAAAATCTATATGTCCTTCCTTCTAACCTGATCAATAGTATTTAGTAGCATTTTGTAGAAAGTCTCTTTCACATCCTGGTCCTTATCATTGGTGGAGGCATATCCCTGGATAACATGAAAGTTGATGTCTTTCTTGTGTGAACGGAATTCAGCTGATATTAGTCGCGGGCCCTCTGTTTTCCATCCTATCAAAGCCATCTTGGCGTGTGTTGACAACAGAATACCTACTCCTTCTGTATGCGGCGAGTTTTTCTCCAGATGTCCAGAGTAGAGAACTGTTTCCCCTGAAGCAAGTTGACACTCCCCTGCATTCGTCCATCTCGTCTCACAGAGACCCAATATGTCCAGTTGGTAGGCCTCCATCTCTCTTGCAACCTGCAGTGCCTTCCCTGCCTCGTACATTGTACGAACATTCCATGTGCCAAGTCTGGTGGTTCTTCTGGTCGACAGGAGGTTTCTCGGCTTGGTGGCTTCCTTTCGGCTTCCACCACCCTGCGTCATTCTACACTCCCTATTCTCTACTCTCCTCGGTGATGAAGGTCCTCCATCTTCCAGAAATGGCGGTCGTGTTGTTTTTGCTGTCGATGTTTTTGTAGCTTATTTTTATTTTACGGGAAAGGGCTGCAAACCCTTTGCCCAACAGGCCTTGCTCGCCTTCTACGACATGCGCGATACGGATACAGTGGTCCTATTCTTTGCTTCCCTATCTCTTGGACAGGGCCCCAAGAACCATACGGGTGTTTTCTTGTGCAATCCTTTTCATTTTGCTTTCATTGAGTTATCCTTTTCATTTTTTTTGTCCCAGAGCCATCCTTTTCATTTTGCTTTCCCAGTGCTTTCCTTTTCATTTTTGTTTCTTGAGCAATCCCTTTTCTTCTGCTTTCCCAGAGCTATCCTTTCTAATTTGCTTTCCCATCCTTTTCATTTTGCTTTTCCAGAGTTATCCTTTTCATTTTGATTTCTAGGGAACTATCCTTTTCATTTTGATTTTACAGAGCCATCCGTTTCATGTATTTTCCAAAGAGCTATCCTTTTCATGTATCTTTCCCGGAGCTGTCCTTTTCATTTTGCTTTCCCAATGCTATCATTATTTTCATTCTTGTTCCTTGAGCTATCCTTTTCATTTTGCTTTCCCAGAGCTTTCTTTTCAATTTTTCTTTCTTAGAGATATCCTTTTCATTTTGGTATCCCATTGCAATCATTTTTTATTTTACTTTCCCATCCTTTTCATTTAGCTATTCTTTAGTAATCCTTTTCATTGTGCTTTTTTGCTTTCCACGATCTATACTTTTCACTTAGCTTTACCAGAACCATTCTTTTCATTATGCATTCCCAGAGCTATCCTTTACAATTTGCTTTACCATAGCTATCTTTTTCATTTTGCTTTACCAGAGCAATCCTTTTCACTTTGCTTTCCCAGAGCTATCCTTTTCATTTTGGCTTCCCATTGCAATCATTTTTCTTTTTCTTTCATATCCTTTTCATTTTGCTATTCTTGAGCTATCCTTTTCGTTTTGCTTTTTTGCTTTCCACAATATACACTTTTGACTTTGCTTTCCCAAAGCTACCTTTTTCATTTTGTTTTCCCAGAGCTATCCATTTCATGTATCTTCCCCAGAAGCGATCATTTACATGCATCTTTCCCGGAGTTGTCCTTTTCACATTGTTCTTCAAGAGCTACCCTTTTCATTTTTCTTTCCCAGTGCTTTCCTTTTCATTTTTGTTCCCTGAGCTATCCTTTTCATTTTGCTTTCTTCGAGTGATCCTTTTAATTTTGATTTTAAAATGCTATCATTTTTATTCCCCCCCCCCATCCTTTTCATTTTTCTTTTCCAGACCTATCCTTTTCATTATGATTTCTATGTTACTATATTTTTCATTTTGATTTAGCAGAGCTATCCTTTTCATTTTGCTTTACCCGAACTGTCCTTTTCCCTTTGCTTTCACAGAGCAATCCTTTTCATGTTGCTTTCCCAGAGCTGTCCTTTTAATTTTGCATTCCTGGAATTATTTTGTCCCCGAGCTATCCTTTACAATTTGCTTTCATCGAGCTATCCTTTTCATTTTGCTTTCCCATTGCTATCAGTTTTATTTTGCTTTCATATCCTTTCCAGTTTGCTTTTCTTGAGCTGTTCTTTTTTTTTTTTTTGCTTTCTCAGAGCTTTCCTTTTCATTTTGATTTTCTAGATCTATATTTTTCATTTTGATTTCGAGGGAACTATCCTTTTCATTTTTTATTGCTAGAGCTATAGTTTTCATTTTGTTTTCCCAGAGCTATCCATTTCATGTATCGTCCCCAGAGCTATCCTTTACATGTATCTGTACCGGAGCTGTCCTTTTCACTTTGCTTTTCCAGAGCTATCCCTTTCATTTAATTTTAATAGAGCTATCTTTTTCATTTTGCTGTACCCGAGTTATCCTTTTCACTTCGCTTCCCCAGAGCTATACTTGTCATGTATCTTTCCAGGAGCTGTCCTATTCATTTTGCTTTCCCACTGATATACTTTTCATTTTGTTTTCCCAGAGCTATCCATTTCATGTATCTTCCCCAGAGCTATTCTTTACATGTATCTTTCCCGGGGCTGTCCTTTTCATTTTGCTTTCCACGAGCTATCCTTTTCACTTTAATTTTCCAGAGCTATCCTTTTCATTTTGCTTTACAATCGCTATCTTTTTCATTTTGCTTTACCTGAGTTTTCCTTTTCACTTTGCTTTCCCCGAGCCATCCTTTTCATTTTCGTTCCCTGAGCTATACTTTTCATTTTGCCTTCCAAGAGCTATTCTTTTCATATTGCCTTCCCGGAGCTAATCTTTTCAATTTGCTTTCCACGAGCTATCCTTTTCACTTTGCTCTCCAAGAGCTATCCTTTTCATTTTGCTTTCCCAGAGCTATAATTTTCATTTTGCTTTGCCAGAGCTATGCTTTTCATTTTAATTTCCCAGAGTAATCATTTTCATTTTTGTTTCAGAGAGCCATCTTTTCCATTTTGAATTCCCCAAGCTATCCTTTTCATTTTTGTTTCAGAGAGCTATCCTTTTTTAAAATTTCCCCTCGGTATCCTTCTCATTTTGGTTTCCCATAGCTATCCTTTACATTTGGACTTTCCAAATATTGGTATTATTGTGGCGTGCTTGAACTCCAGCGGAATTTTGCCTTTATTCCAGATATTGTTGAAGAAGTCTACTATCACTATTTTTGCGTTGTATGGTAATTGGTCATACATTTCATTTCCAACCACAACTGCTTGTGTTCGATCCTTAAAATATGAATCAAACCATCGCAGGACAGTACTCTTTATGCCAAAAGTAGAATTTAGTCTCTCGAGTAAAATGTCATGATCAATGGTTTCGAAAGCAGCCGAAAGGTCCAAAAGAGTAAGAAGACATACCTTTTTTTCATCAATATATTTTAAAATATCAGTACAGACCCTAAGTAACGCTGTCTTGGTACTATGGTGTGCCTTATATGCTGACTGTTAGTTAGACTTCGCTAAGATTATTTCTGGTATATTTCTGGTATCTTAACGATAACCCTATTCATTGTAATATTCTCCCCGGCAGTGTGTGGCAAGGAAACAAAAGTTCAAACATCCAGATTAATAAACAAAACAAAACAAAATTATATAAAAAATAATTAATTAATTTTAAAAAAATGAATAATAAAAAATAATA